AACAAATTCTCTTTAGGCAGCAGTTATTATTAAAAGCAATCAGCCTGATGATGACTGGCCAAGATTTGGTGCCATCGATTTTCATAATCTCTTTATTAAATATCGTGAAGATTCGGACCTTGTACTTAACAACATATCATTTAAAGTTGAACCATCAGAAAAGGTCAGTAAAAATTTATAGTATAGTATAGAAAGTGAAAATATTTTGATTTAATATTAATATTATTATTTCTTTTATAAATAAATACAATATCTAGGTATTTATGAGTTCTTACAAAAACCCGCAAAAGATTTCTTTAGCCATATCGACTTTAGGTGCAAAATTTGCAGCTTACACGAGTTCCTAAGATTTCTAACAATAGTTCTGACTGAAAATAATGATCTAAGACGATGATCAGACAATGTGGCAACTTTTTTTATTAATCTGAGGCAAATGCTTTCAAGACGTTTTGCAGGTTGATTGGGCGTTTGTTGCATACAACAGAAGCTTGTTTTCTATGGTAGACAGTTTCATAAGTTGAGTGCGAGAGATATCACAGAACACAGGCCAAGCAAAAGCCATATGCTAAAAAACTAATGCAAGATATGTTTTCCATGTTAAATCATTAGGAATACCATATGATACCAGGCGATGGATAGCCGACATTCCGAGGCATCATTTATGATGAATGATTTTGAAGTGAGACTCCCATTTAAGGTCATTTTGTAAAGTTACCCCAAGAAGTTTAATATTGGACTGAGTTTCTAACTTACTGCCAGCAACAGTTATTGGTAACCCCTTGTCACCCTCTAAGGTAAAATCGATCAATTGAGTTTTTTCATTATTGACATGCATTTTTGCACGAAGTGACTAACTTAGCAAATTATTTACTCCTTCCTGTGTGTTATCGATGTTATTATGGCCAACATAATGTAATAGCGTGGTGTCGTCGGCGTACAAGTTTAATAGAGTTCTTGAATTATCAAGTATCAACATTCGGTTAACTACCATAGCAAAAAGATATGGACCTAGAACTGACCCCAGAGGAACTCCACTTGTTATATTGGTCCAAGGAATGGAATCTGGAGAGACACCAGAAACAATGGCTTTTTGAGATCGATGACTAAAATAGGATTTAATCTTAGTTGTGACAGAGTCCGGTAAACTGAAATTATTTTTAGCTGTAAGAAGGACAACAAAATGAGAGATTTTATCAAAAGCTTTTTTAAAATCAATACTAATACATCAAACATAACCACCTGAAGATATAAGTTTGTTTAAAGTCCAAAGAACCATCATTGTAAGAGCATTAGTTGTGCCTCTATAAGGGCCCAGAACAAAAGCGAATTGAAACAGATTAAATTTTTTCTGAAGGGAAGGTATTAACTACTGTTTGAGTTCAATCTTCTCTAAGATCTTAGCAGCACAGCAAAGTAATGAGATAAGGCGATACTCGTCGTTTTTTCTTTTAAATTGGAACCGCATGAGCTTTTTTCCATGCAGATGGAAACTTAAGTTGAGAAAAGCTATAATTGAAAATGAGCGTTAAGGGGGCAGCCAAAATATTGGCGTAATCTCTGAGGATAATTCCAGGGATACCATTTGGTCCACTAGCCGATGATTTAATTTTTATCAATTCTTGGTGGACAAGGTATTCATTAGTTTCATAGAAAGTAGCAGAGTTGTAATTGTTTTTATTTATAATAAATTTATCTATATCCTCTGGCTCGAACAGCTTCGCAAAAGAATCATTTATTTTGATGGCTTCCGATAGAGTAAAATATTTAGTTTATTGGCTAGGCTTAATATCATTGTTGATAGCATTCCATTTTTTTCTTGATACTATAATCTTTGTTAAGTTTAATACGGCCAAGTTGACGTTTTGAGGTTGCTATAGCCAAAGTTAGTTTTTCTTGCAGAGCGATGTATATTTGTTGATGTTTTTTATGGTAAGCGCGATCTTTTTCTCTCATTAAGATTTTAATTTGAGGAGTTATCCATAAAGGATCGTTGCTTTTCATTGTAATGGAACACATAGGAAAACACTTGTTAATTAACAATCTAACTTATTGTTTAATAAGATTATTTGAAATTAAATTGAACATTTTAAGTTCATTCAAATTTTACATAGCAGTAAGTTTCTGTTAGTAACAGAACCTTAGTGACAGATGCTTATTTAATATAATCAAAAAAGAAAAATTTGAAAATTGGCATCTAAGGGTAATAATTATTAACATAACAAATAAAATTTAGTAATATAAAAAATAAAGTTTAGTAATATAAAAAAGAAATACACATGATAGTTAAACATAAAAACTTATTTTGTAGTGTTATCAGTAAATGTTATTCTTATTTTAGTTCTTATATTAGTGTTGAATTTCTTTTCCTTAACTGTGGGCTAATGACCAATAAGGTAAGTTTGAATCATGAAAATTTACTAAACTAAAACCTTATTTTAACAATTGGCAAACTAAAACTAAATCATACTTCAACAGTTAGCAAACTAAAATAAGATAGTAGAATAGTAAAAAAAACTAAAACTAAATTGAGTATTGAAGCAGTTAACCTGTTTAAAAACTTATCAGAAAAGTTATTTCTTTAATTATGGTTTTATTTTGATCAGCACTTTAGGTTTGAGCTCAGCAGATATTTAAGTGCTTGCTCTTTGATTTGCAATAAATTTTAAATTAAATGAAATTAAAACCATATTTTAATCCTCAATATTGAGTGTTAAAATGATATATTTAACAAAACCATCATGTTCAGTATTGTTAAAATCATAAACTACCATTGAGTCATATTCTTTAATAATTCATTGATGTAGTATTTCAACATATCTTTTAAGAAGATCTTTTTCTTCATTGTTCCACTATTAAACATGAGCATCAATTAGAAAAAATCACCCTCCTCATACTTTCCAATATGTGCTCTTATATTTTGATTTAATGCAATCGAAAAAGAGAAGACTTTTTGTCAAGACAGGACTATAAAGATGAGTCATCAGCAAATAGAGCCACTTTAGAAGAATGGTTGTCAGAAAAATCATTGATGTAGATAAGAAACAAAACAGGACCACGGATAGAACTTTGAGGTACCCCAGAGGTTACTGAGATACCCCAAAAGTTATTAGAAATAAAAAAGAGTGTTAACCTTCAAGGTGACTTTAATAAAGCAATTAGAAAGAAAAGGTTTGATAATCCTAAAACCTTTCCCAGATACTGTATCTTTATATGATTTATATGATATATTATACACCATCTAAAACAAACTTATAAAGAGGACCAATATCCAAAACTTTATAGAAAGATTTAGTTATATCAAGAGCAATAGCCCTAGCTTTGCCACCTTCATCTAATGCATAATAAAAATCATTCAGTCACAACAGTTAGTAAATTAGTCGTAGAACAAGAAGGTTGAAACTGTATTGATTGTCTAAAAGTAAGTTATTTGAATCAAGATGTTAAAATTTTGTTGATCAATCACTTAAACTTTGTTAATAACAGATAGAAGACTGGTAAGAAGATAGTTAGAGCAGCCAGAATGTTCTCCAAAATTTTTAAAAATTTGGACCACAGATTCCATTTTCACAGATGCCATAGAAAAATTTAATTGAGGTATGACTTTAGTAACAGAATCTAAAATGATTTGAATATCTAACAATTAATTAACCTGTTTAACTGAAATGGAAGAAAAAGTATGGCCATAAGAATCAAGAGTAAAAGTAGAAGAGTCAAGTTAAGTCAAAGAAGTAGAGTCAAGTTTTTGCAAATAGTTCTGCTTTATCCTTGAGAGAGCTAATAAGTCCCATGAACGAGAGGTAAAATGTTAAACCTACCTACCTAGTGAATTGTCTTAAATACAGAATTTTTAAAATATCATCAGCCCAAATTTTCAAAAATTTATCAGCTCAAGCACGGTCACAAAGAAAGTCACAGAGTGAATCCCAGTCAGCTTTAAGGTAGTAAAAAGTAGTGCAATGGTATGGCGAGTACAAAGAGAAGTTTTAGATGAAAGTTTTATAAACATCATTGCATAGTCGGAACCACCTAAAGGAGAAAAAGAAAAAACTGAGTACAACTAGGGTCAAAGACAAAACACAAATCAAGAAAGCAAGTTACAAATTTAACTGCCTGAATTTAACTGTCTAGAAAACAAATTACAAGTTTAACTATCTGAGTAAAAGATTGAGTAATGCAGAATTTATGGGTTTTAGGGCCAGAAGTATCAGTGATGATTCATTGTAATGTGCTTTAAAGTCTCCAATAACAGCAATATTGCCTGTGGTTAAAGAGAAAGGGCATTGTCAATTTGATCAGAAATTATATCTAAATGCGTGCAGTCTTGAAAAGAAAAAGAATGATAAAGAACAAAGAGAAAGGCGATAGAGTGAAAAGGTGCTAAGCAGAAGCACATAAAACAATGGTCAGTGGATTCAAACTTGAATTCAGGACAAATATGTGAATTAATGTATATGTGTACCCCCAAGCCAAACATGAGACTATTGGAGTATTTGCGAATTATTGGATAGTACCCATAAACACTGAAATTTGAAGAAGGATAGGTGGAATTTAAATTAGTCTCACAAAGAGCAAGCAAGTCTGTTGAATTTTGCAAGAGATAAGATTCAATTAATGGCAGTTTGCTTCGCAGACCATGAATATTTGTAAAAGGTATATTAAAACAGTTAGGCGGTGGGGATATTTTTTTATGTTTAATATTTTGGGTTACTTATAGCATGTCTTTAACTAAAGAGAACTTGACTCATTCATACATAGAGCACAGCATCCCTAGCAATAAGCTATGCAGTTGTCTCAATTCTGCTAATTAAAAAAGTTGTAATTTAGGGCTTCTTATGTGGCCTTGACAATGCGCACCAAAAGCATTAATAAGGACACCATCTATCAGCAATATGGCACTGTTAAAACTTTAACATTTTACAGCTGCTGATAAAATCAGCCTTTCTGAGAGCTACCACAGAGTTTGGAAAACCATACAACCAGCCGGTCTCAGATTACTACCAGCCGGTCTCAATTGAGTTTACAAATGGATTAAGTGCAAACTTGCATAAATGTGTTTTTGCATAAATGTGAACCTACTAAAATGCAAAGCAGTTGAATATACTGTTGCATATGCTGGAATATTTGCAAATCTGCGTGAAAAATTTAAAAATACTGGCTTAAGTTGTAAAACCTATAGTACAAATTTAAATTAATGCGCCTAAAGAATTTGTAAGCACATAAGTGCAAATCTGCATAAGTGAAGAAAAACTTATTCATCTATTTTTTATTTTTTTTTTCAGTTATTTTATTCATAGTTTTATCCTTGAATATTTTAAACTCTCTCCTTTATGTTTTCCTGGCTTTGAATATTTTTGCCTTAAATTCTCATTTTCATGTTTTTCTTACTTGAATAATTGAAAATATTTGAAGTCTTCTGTAAATACTTTTCTTAGCTTTTAACTCTCTTCTTTGCCTTCGCTTTACTACCAGATTAACCTTTCTTCAATATCAGATTGCCCTCTCTTTACTACCAGATTGCTCTCTCTTCACGACCAGGTTACCCTCTTTTCACTACCAAATTACTTTACAATATGGTTTTTTTTTTAATCATAGCTTTTATCGGGAATATTTTTTAGTTTTAAGTATAAGTCAATTTAACTATTTGTTTAAAAGATAAAGAAAGTTATGTACACTAATGATGGCTGCAATTTATATCCAAAGTTCTTTCATTTTTATTGTTCATTTTAATTTTAGGTTGGTATAGTTGGGCGTACTGGAAGTGGAAAATCTTCGATTGCAAATGCTCTTTTTCGTACAATAGAAGCTTGTATTGGAAGTATTAAAGTTGACAATATTGATATTTCAACTATTGGATTAAATGATTTACGATCTCGAATGACAATTATACCCCAAGTAAGTTTTGTTGCTATAGTTGAAAATTAATTGATATTTTATTTTATACAATTTTTTAATGAAAATTAGTTAATGCTGTTTTTGTATTTGATTAATTTCAAATATGTTGTTACATAAACTACGCATAAAATTTATGTTTAAGAAGCAAATAAATAATCAATCCAAATGTTTAGGCTAATAAGCTGACTAATGACCAATTAAAAAGGTTAAATATACCATTAGAACCAAACTTTTTTCATTGAAAAAAAAATTCCTAAAAAAAATCATAGCATGAATGGCAATTAGGAAAGTTGCATTCAAATGGGGTATTCTAAAAACAATATTGATAAAACAAAACAAAAAGAATAATAGTTACAGTCTTTTATACAAATAAAAATTGGCACAAATATTTAAAGTTAAGTTCTGTTTATATATATTTATATACATATTTTTGTCAATATTTAATTTTTCATTACTATTTCTTGCTTTAAATGTTTGCCAAGTTTATTTATATACATTTTTTATCTATTTTTTAACATTTTTGCACAAATATGTATTATTTTATATCGAGATTCAAGATATGTATTTTTTTTTCGAGGAATTAAAAGTTCTATATTATTTTAAGAAATAAAAAATCATCGGGAAAATTCATCGTTTGGTCAAAGTAGGTTTAATGGTTATCTTTTCTTATAGTTATTAATAATAGTGATTGTCTTACATGGTACCACAGCTTACATAATATGCTCTTATATGTTCTCTGATGGTTAGCTCACATTTTATGGTCTTACATATAATAGGTATATAGAAAAATTAGAAAAACAAAAATAATTTTAACTTTTTTATTTTTTTATTTACTTTTTTACAGTCAGTAAATTATTATTTATTTATTTTTTCTTGTTGTTTAGAACCCAGTTCTTTTTTCTGGAACAATACGTTTTAACATTGATCCATTTGATCAACATGATGATGATGATATCTGGAGGGTTTTGGAAGTTTCAAATTTAAAACCATTTGTTTCAAGCTTAGAGAATGGCATTATGCATGAAATTTTTGACGGGGGTGAAAACCTGAGGTAATGTCTTTGTATTTTTTAATGTGTTTCTATTGCATAAAAACAACATGTTAGTGATATAAGTATTAGGAAATGTAAATCTTGATATAATATGTATATATATATATATATATATATATATATATATATATATATATATATATATATATTATATATATATATATATATATATATATATATATATATATATATATATATATATATATATATTGTGTTGATGAAACACAGTGTAAAATGAAAAAAAAATTTTGTTAAGTAATTTTCTACTAATTTATATATATATATATATATATATATATATATATATATATATATATATATATATATATATATATATATATATATATATATATATTTATCATAATAAGTTTTTGTTTAAGTGTTGGACAACGCCAATTACTATGTCTTGCTCGTGCTTTGATTAGAAAAAGTAAAGTTCTTGTTCTTGATGAAGCTACATCGTCTGTGGATCTTGAGACGGACGGAATTATTCAAGAAGTTATTCGAAAAGAATTTAAGTTGAGCACAGTGTTGTGCATTGCTCATCGATTAGATACAATTCTGGATTATGATAAGTATGCATGGTTAGCCTAAGTACTATAACTAATAATAATAATTTTTTTGATATCAATATTATTTATTTTTAGAATTATTGTTCTTAATCATGGTAGAATTATGGAATTCAATTCTCCCAAAGTTTTATTTCATCAGCAAGGTGAATTTTACAAAATGGTAAAAGAAGCGGGTTTGAGCATTAATACGAAATAAATGGTATTCAAAATTGAAATAATTCCAGAAAAACATTTAAAATAACTGTTCTCATTATTGACATGCGCCCTAAAAATAAGACATTTTAAAGACATGAATACTTATTGCAATGCTTAGTTGCCTATTAATTTTAGCTTTTACTATTAAAAACTAGTGTTTAATTTTGATTTTTATACTTTATTTTTTTTTTTTTTATTTTTTTTATTTTGTTTATAACATGCGACAATTATATTATAAAATTACCTTGTAGAAAGTGGTATAAAGTTTTGTATATTCATAAATTTTTTAAATAATGATTTTTTAACAACTATTAGTAACATCTGTAAAAAAATGTTATTAAAAAAATGTTTTTTGAAAATTTTGCAAAACTGTAATAAAATGTTTATTGAAAATATTGCAGGAAAACTTTAGGAATTTTTACAAGGACATTGCTATAGGGGCTGTTCATTAATTACGTCAACAAAATTATAATAATTGAACCAAATTTCAATATACAGGAAAAAAAATTAATGATTTTGGGATGATTCTTAAACATATAAACATCTAATCTGTTAAAATAAAGAATATATATCTAAAAATATGACACTACAAAAATCAAAATGTCCCGTAAGTAACGGTGGAATTGCCCTATACACTCTTTTTTTTTCTTTTCTTTTTTTTTTTTTTTTTCTTTTCTTTATTCTTTTTTTCTTATTTTTTTCGTTTTTTACATTTTTTTTTTACAAGAACTCCTTGAACAATGGAAGCTATCAAAATTTATACAAACTTTATATTTGGACTAATGATAGATTTATACACAATTATAATAAGTGTATTTATCATTATATTATTTTTCTTTTTAACTAAACCTACTACTAAAAAAAATCAATACTTTTTTCAAAACTTAACTTAAAGATTACTTTCGTGTTACTTATCGTAGCTGAAAACTTTCTAAAGTCTGTTTTAACTTTAAGTATATTTTGAGGTAATACACTTTATTTAACTTATCCGATAACTTTACCATAGTAACGGTCCTTAGCAACACAGACTTATGTTTTTAATTTTTCTTTCTCTCTTGACATTGATTTAAGTTTTCATTAAATGTGGTTAACAAGAAATTAGTTTAGTAGGCCCGCATGGTTTGAAAAAGTGTAGATGGTAAATGTGAGTGAAAGTTGCTATTGTTGTATCACATATTTTCTATTTTGTGATGAGCTATTGATGTATTCGCAAAGCTTTGTATTTTTTTATATTATGTATAACTTATCGGTTTTGTTATATTAGTTAAGAATTACAAGTGAACTCAGCTAAAATGTATTTTAATGAAAGAACTGCTGGAGTACAGAGATTTATGAGTCACCTCAGCTTGAAATTGTGTAAAAACAATGGTATCTTTATTTTTTAAGGATCGGAAACGCAAAACCAATATAAAAAAAGACCAAAAAGACACCTCATTGTAATTGTAAATAAAGATTATTATTAAAAGCAATGAAGAAAAAAAAATGAAGAGTGACATCTTGAAACCAATAAGTCTAACTCATTTGGAAGTTTTTCAAATGTTTTTTATGTTTAAAAAATTTTTTAATCATCTATTATTGTCATCAAAAACCATCAACTGTTTTTAACTAAATTTCTTCAAAAAGTTTTCATGAAAACAATGCCAATGCAACTGCTTTTAGTCATGAAATACGCCTACCGTCTTATTTGCATATTATCCTCTAACTAGTTGAAGTCTCAGCTGTAACCTATTCACAGAAGCCCAACCTATTCCCAACCCAAAAGTTCCCTAAAACTTAATTTGCGACAATAACTGTTACAACATATAAAACCCATTTTTTAACCAAATCAAAATCTAGCCAAAACACAACACAAATTACCCAGATAAACTCTCGCTGGAACTCAATTGTACTAGTTATCAAGGCAACTGGTACAACATATTTAAAAAGTGGTCTCATTGATAATAGTAACTTTACTAAAAATATTTAGAGTTATATACCTTATACAAAAACTAGTGCATAGGATAGTCTACATAACCAATGCATAAAAAAGTTAAATACGCCGTATGGTAAATTTAGACTTGCCTTTCGCTCGATGAAAAACTAAAAACTTTAATAAACGTTTTTATTACACTTTACCAATAGATTTTTTTTTTTTTTATACGCTTTTTATTAGTTATAAAAAATATTTAAAAAAAAAAAACAGCCCTTTAAATTTTATTTTACAAAAAGTTTATTCCAAACTCCGTGGACTCAAACATGATTAGCTTTTTTCAATCCTTTTTATAAATAGAATTGCCTTTGAGCTCAGAGTGTATTGCGGGATTGGACACTTTTTTGTTGCAACATATGAAAAATCTTTTATCTACAATGTGTAACTATTCTAGCAGATTTAAAATTAATTTAGCCTGGTTAATAACGTTAAAGCTTGATAACTGGACAAGACCAAGCAGTATGTCATCAATGATATCCATATCAAGTGATGTAACATTACCTGCTATCCTTTCTAAAAAAACAGTTATGTTTATGTTTTCTTAATTCTGTTTCACCGCCGTTTCACCAATATAAACACAGAGCTTCTTTCCGTTATGAGCATTAATAATTTTTTTCCTAAGGTTGTCTTTGAATATCTCAATCTTCCTGAACCTCTTTCAATGGACTGTACTATGTTATTGTGGATTGCAGCTACTAATAAAATTTGTTGGCGTATTCCTATACTGTATAAAGCAGAAACCAAAGCTTTATGACCAGCACTTATGTTTTCAACACTTATATTTATCATTATCTTAGACTCATATCATCATCCTCCGAAGAGTCTAAACAGATCTAGATTTAGGTCTAGATGAATGGAAAAAACCCATAAGTTCATTAGATTCTATTATATTTGTTGTTATTTCACCTTTATAATTTGTCTTCTCCATCCTCCTAAACCAAATATGCTGATTCTCCACTGACTTCTGAAATGATTGGTCCGCCTCTTCTGTAATATACATATTTCTCTCCTTTCTAATGTAGATAGCACTATTTATTTTTCACTATGACTTTGTTTCATAAAACGAAAGCAATCCTGGAATACTTTTCGTTTCAACTGCAGTATAGTAATACCAAAGAGTGCTTTATTAAAAACTTCTCTATTTTACATTTATCATACATTATCTATTATACATTCATTCTCTATTTATATTTATCTATTTACATATTCTATTAACATTTACATGCATTCTATATTTTACAGAAGTACCTAGAACTGGATTTCCAGTTTAATGATTTGAAGCAATGCAGATAAAGGTGAAGTAAATTTTTTTTTTTTTGTTCGAAATTGAAAATTTTAAATTATTTTTCTAATGTTCAAAGATAATTATAGATGTACTGTAAATAAAAAAATTTTATTTAAAAAATTTGAAACTTCAAAATAATTTACCAAAATGGGGTAAAGAGGGAACGGTATTAAATAAATGGTCATAAAAAAAAGCGCAACATATTTTTGTTAAAATTTGAAATCTGTCATTGAATACTAATTTGAAATAATAAGTAAAAAAATCAAAAAAACACAAGGTTTTTGATAATTTTTAAATAGGAGGGGAGGTGACTTGGGGTAGGGGTGGATGTAGATTTCTAGAGAAAGAGAAAGAACTAAAAAAAGAACAAAAAATAATTTTTTTTGTTTTTTTCACAAGGAAATTGATGATGAGGTCTCAAAACCCTTTTTTCGTGTAAACATCTAAATTTTTTTTGCTTTTTTGTTTTGATTTTGGGTCCGCCAAAAAGACCTAACGCTCTTGTCACGAAGCACTGACGTAACGAAGAACGCTCTTCGTTACGTCACGAAGCACTGCGGAACGCTCTTCGTTACGTCACGAAGCACTGCGGAAGACCATTTAACTAGAAAGTTCACCCGTCCTTTTTTTTTTTATTTAGGTGCCCCAAGAAGACCTAACACAGAAGTCTTGTCACAGAGCACCGCGGAAGTGCTTTTTATATATAATAATATATATATATATATATATATAAAGCACTTCCGCGGTGCTCTGTGACAAGACCGTTATATATATAAAAAAAGCATTTCAAGCATTCAAGTGTTACAAGAAAAAAAAACAACTACATTTTACAAAAATTACGTTATGATATCTTTATAAATATTTTGATAATATATGTATATTAAGCGTAAATATAAAATCACATAATTTTTAATGAAAAACTTGCTTTTTAGTCTTACCGTTAAAAAAAAAAGCAGTTAAAACAAAATAACACACAATAAACACAGATGTTGTTTAATTAGTCACTATCAATGTCTCTGCGAGTGAGAGTTTTTGAATAGTCTGTTACAGATCGACCATATCACTTGATTTCCAACTAGCTGTAAAAAAACATAAAAATCCTCTTGAAAAATGGACAGAAAAAATGTCAATTGAAGGGTTGAGGGGGGGAGAGAATGTGAAAATCTCAAATTTGAAGTAAAGTTTAGAAAATTTAGATTTTATGTTTGAAATTGAGGACAATTTTAAAGTTCAGGCAATGTAGTTAAGCTTTTTAAAAAAGTAAGTCGACGTTTTTTGCGTACTGAAAATTTATCCTTAATAAGTGATGTAAAAGTATCCATAAACTTGCAGTTTCCAAATAATGTAAAAACCCGTATAATTTGTTTTCGGTATATAGCCTGCATGTGTGAATATATAAACATATTAGCGCAACTATTTGCTGTGTGTGCAACTTTTAACCAAGAGTTTATTTGATTCAAAGTAGCATTAAATTTCACGCCATTTTTACTAACCATCCACGATAAATTGTACACCAAATAAAACAACTCTCTTGGGAAAACCAGAAGTGTAAACACCGTTCCCATTGTTACTAGCAAAGTTGTAATGCTTTTTGACTGTTTAAAACATGCTGCTTTAATTTCTTTACTAGTAGAAGTAACCTCACATTTTTTTAAAGTTTTTAAAATTTTTACATTTGTAAAGCTAAAAACTGTTGCAAATAAACATAAACGTAAAACTACAAACACGCAGTTTGGAATTCCGTATTTATAATCAGAAACATTTGGAATATAACAGTATTTATCTTTTGGATGAATCTTTAGTGCAAGAATATAATGAAGGTAAAAACATATTGAAACGACTATGTCAAAAAAAAAAACTATAGTTACTGTTTTTGGTGTTAGTTCGCCACTAAACGGTGTCACTATTGCTATATATCAATCAATTGCAATTATTAGGAGCACACCACATGATGCTGAAGTCATAATTGGTCCCAGCGAAGGAATAATTTGGCAACCCAAATAACCAAAATCCCATCGCCGATAGTTTGTTAATGTCCAGTAAATATACAAAGGAGGGTTAAGTAGTGAAGATAAAAAATCAATTATTCCCAAATAGAAAATTAACAATTCTGTTGTCGAGCGACGATTTGATTTTCGTTTATAGCCAAAAACATATATAACAAATGCGTTTCCAAGCACTCCCGTGCACAAAATTAGCACAAACGAAACTACAATACACCACTCTGAAAGAGTTATGTCTCTGACAAGAAACCAAATTGGGGAAGATGTGGTTGCAATTGTTAAATTAGAAACCATGGTTGTTGTTCTACAAATTTTTGTGAAATTTTAATCTGAAAATAACACAAAACTTAATTTAAAAAATATATGCGCATGATATAAAAGAACAAAAACGAAAGGTAACTCAAGGTTAACTTTTTATATAATAAATATTATATAAACTATATATATAATAAATGATTATATTATAATAAATATTACAATTCATTTTATAAAACTTTTTTTTATATAACAAAATATGTAAGGCTTTTAAATATATATAAATAGAACCAAGTCGTAATAATTTTCTAAACAATTCTAAAGAGTCTTGCAATTCAAATGCAATAAAAGCTTTTTATCGTAGCTTTGTTTCTACCGAAACCTCCACTTCACAGTCAGTTCATTCCTAAACTAAACTTTATTCATTAACAAATAAAAAAATATTTTTAACAATAATTTCAATTTTACCAAAATTTTTCAGCTATTTTTATACAATATTTTTATGTATACATTGTTCTTAATTTTAAAAAAAAATTTACAGTAAAACTTTGATTACTTATGTACTCAGCATAAATTAGCATAAATTTACTATTAATGTGTCAATATTTAAACATATAGTTATAATTCTCTATATTTTTTAATTAACAGTTTGAGAAATTAACAGTAGTTTTGAAAGGTAATTATTTTGAATGTTTTGCGATTAAAAAAACTTTTTAATAATAGCAAATAAAAGAACTTTTAATGATGTAAAATCATTTTCACCATAAAGTACAAATATTATTATTTTCAAATTAATTTCAATTTAAAAATAACAACTATTTTTATTGTAACAATAGAAAAGTTATAATTTTGATAATGCTAAAAGCTACATTGGTAAGATAAAAGCTAAATTGGTAAGATAAAAGCTATATTGGTAAGATAAACGATCGGAACACCCTTATTAAATGCTCTTCTGAAGTGCTAAGACAGAAATGACCGGAAGATCTTCTTAGAGTACCTTTATAACGAAAAAACAAGCAATAAGAATGATGAAAAACGTTTTTGAAATCTCCATAAACTGCAGATATACGTTCTAAAGAAGTTTGCAGATTAGGCATTAAGATTGCAGAAGATTACAGATTTGGTATTAGGCTAAACACATTACATCAATTATTATTATTGGTTTAGACATCGATTAAACATTGTTTGGCTAACTTTGTGTCTATAAAATTATAATCATTTTAGAATCTTATTTACAAATCTTTGCAAAAATAAATACTTACAAAAAAATATTTTCAAATATATATATATATATATATATATATATATATATATATATATATATATATATATATATATATATATATATATATATATATATATATATATATATATATATATATATATATATATATATATATATATATATATATATATATATATATGCATGTATGTATGCAAAGGCTATTCTGTGAATAAATTAACGGAAACGAATTTTTAAAAACTGCCGACTGTTTTTTTAAAAAATAAAGTCCTCAAAACTAAAAATCTGCCGACTGAATAGTGCCAAAATTCAACTAGTCGACTATGTTCCTTAAAAAATTGACAATAAGTTGAAACTAGACATATTTGAGGGTTGGGGGTCTTACCTCCACACACACACCCCTATCCGGTAATATAGCACTTTTTCTACTATAAACTTAATTCATCAAGTTTTTTTTCAAATTCCAAATAAATCAAACTTGTATTGTATCAACGATGACTTACTGAAAAACAACGAATCGATTAAGACTTACGGAGAACTAACTGAGACATAAGGAGAACTAACTGAGATTCAACGAAAATATACAAAGGAACAAGGAAGATTAACAGAAGAAAATTTAAATGCACAGTTAAAAAAATATGTTATATAAATGACAAAAAAAATTGTAACTATAAAACATAGAAAAAAAAACACAAGTAAATTCTAGCAATATTTTAATAAAAACACTCAATATAATAAATCTATAATAAAAACATAGAATCATAACGTTGTCTTTTTTTCCACTGCTGGGCTCTTTGAAAAAACACAGCATCTCCTGAGCTTATCGAATCTTCATTGTCTATAAGAAGAATTTTTTTAAACTCTTTTTTAGTTTTGCGTAATGAAGCTCTACTTTTATCTCTCATAAATGATGTAAATGTGATCGAAAAGCTTTGATGGGAAAATGTTTTCTTGCAGCATCCAAAGTATGCAAAAACTCGCATAATTTGTTTCCGGTACATAATCTGCATATGGGAATAAATAAACACATTAGCGCAACTATTTGCTGTGTGTGCAACTTTTAACCAAGAGTTTATTTGATACAAAGTAGAATTAAATTTCACGCCATTTTTACTAACCATCCAAGATAAATTGTACACCAAATAAAACAACTCTCTTGGGAAAACAAGAAATGTAAACACCAAACCCATTGTCACAAGCAAGCCCATTATTCGTTTTGACTGCTTAAGACGTTGTACTCGAATCTCCTTACTTGTAGAATTACCGTTGCATTGTCTTAAAGTTTCAAAAATTTTTACATTTGTAAAGCTAAAAACTGTTGCAAATAAACATAAACGTAAAACTACAAACACGCAGTTTGGAATTCCGTATTTATAATCAGCAACATCAGGAACAAAGCAATATTTATATTTTGGATGAATCCTTAGTGCAAGAATATAATGAAGGTAAAAACATATTGAAACGACTATGTCAAAAAAAAAAACTATAGTTACTGTTTTTGGTGTTAGTTCACCGCTAAACGGTGCCACTATTGCTATGTATCGATCAACTGCAATTATTAGGAGCACACCACATGATGCTGAAGTCATAATTGGTCCCAGCGAAGGAATAATTTGGCAACCCAAATAACCGAAATCCCATCGCCGATAGTTTGTTAATGTCCAGTAAATATACAAAGGAGGATTAAGAAGTGAAGATAAAAAATCAATTATTCCCAAATAGAAAATTAACAATTCTGTTGTCGAGCGACGATTTGATTTTCGTTTGTAGCCAAAAACATATATAACAAATGCGTTTCCAAGCACTCCCGTACTCAAAATCAACGCAAACGAAACTACAATACACCACTCTGAAAGAGTTATGTCTCTGACAGGAAACCAAATTGGGGTAGATGAGGTGGCAACTGTTGAATTTAAAACCGTGGTAGTGATAGTCATGTTAGCTGTAAAACAAAGTTTGGAATTTATTTGAAATTGTGAAGAAAAAAAATGCACACAAAAATTGTAGTAAACACAATAAAAATAGACAAATTTTAATTTAAAAATGAAAACATAATTTATAAAAACAAGAAGTTTAATACCTGAATAATTTTTAATATTAATTTGATATAAAATACCTGAATAAATTATATGTAAATTATAATATAATATATATAAAGAAAAAAATAAATTAATTGAACCCATAAAGCAAAACAAGTTTGAAATAGTTTCTCTAAATATGAAATTTGTTTCTTCTTTTCTATATATTTTTAACTTTTTTTTCTTTCTCTTTCACATTTTTTTTTTAACAACATTTTGTTAAAGTGTTTAATAAGCGCAAATTTAATCCAATGAAAAAACTGTAGTTAAAGTTTGCGATTGCAGACTGAATTCTGCAATCAAGTCTGCAATTAACAGTCAAGTTATTTTCTAATTATAACTTTTTATTCAGAAAGAAAGCAATATTTATTTTTATATTTACATATTATTTATATATGTAATTATTATTCATTATTTATTGCAAAGCTTTACCTTGTCCGTACCCAGCAAATATTTAGAAACGTTGCGTTAATATTTAAACGTGTAATTATAATTCTTCAAATTTTTACTAAACAGTTTGTGTAGATGAAGTTTATTAAACAATAGAATTCATAGATAATATTCTTGAGTTATTTGAAAATTAATAAACATTTATTAATAGCTAAAAATATTTTAGCGCTTTATTTCTAAATGTTTATGAATTTTCAAATAACTTAAGAATATTAGGGGAAGTTTGTGTACCAAGGACCTCCTTGTACCTAGAGCCATCCCGCGTTATTTGAAAACTTCAAAGTTCTAAGTAATGTTTCTCAGTCAGGTGGTTTGCTATAAAAATATTTTCTTTTTAATCCTATTTTGATTCTCAGAGGACGTTGCTACGGCAAGTTATAATCAGAAAATGCTTTTTGATGGTTTAAAATGAGTTTTTGCCGCTGGTATTTTAGATTGCTTAACAATCCTAAAGGAAATACTTTTGTATAAGTTCTTGTACATTATATTGTTTGTTATTTAAGTACTAAATGCAATGTTCAATTAGTTTCCTGTTAATCGGGGTTTGTTAATAGATGACATTTTTTGTGAGGCTATCATTTCTTGCACCTAGGCCCATACAATTTGCTTGTGACTCGGGTCGTATATGCGTAAAGAATTTGCTTGATAATGAAGTAAACTGTTGAATTTTGATTGGTGCAGAGTTTTTTTTTTCGCGGTTGTTTTGGGACTTACCATTTTACGCGTAGATTTACTTGTCAATTTTGCTCAGAGCTATTGGTCAATTTTACCTTTTTAAGTGTTGCAGTTAACTAGATAAATTATTGAAAACAATCTAAGGTTAAATAGATTTTTAATCAAATTTACTGTCAAATTTTTAGGGAGTTACACCTAATTTTCAGAGAGCGGCCCTAGATACAATAGCTAGTGGCCCTAGGTACATTGAAAAAAGCTTATTGTACATTAAGCCACTAACTTTTAAACCCTTCCACATGACGGACTTTTATACTTAAAGTCAAATTACATATATTAATATAAAATAATTAATATAGAGATGTATGTGATTATACCAGTTTCACCATTTTTAGACAAGTCTGGCTTTGAACTTGGGCGTTGATTAAATTCGGCCCTATGTACACGAGCTTCCTCTATCTTTTAATTCTATTGTTTAATAAAGTTCACTAACACAAACTGCTAAGCAAATAATACTCAAAATCATTTTTTTAGTAAAAAATTATATTAGATATTAACAGGAATTATAGAAATTTGTATTAAATTGAGAAATTTATTTAACTGTGGTTGCCTGCTTTTCTTTTTTCTATTTTTATACAATAAAAATGTTTATTGAAAAGCAAGCTAAAAAAATTGTTTAAATCTTTAATTGTTTAAATCAAAAATTGTTTAATGATTTTTAATATGAACAACAAAAATTATTTTAAATAATGATTTTTAAGTATGAAAATAGAAAGTTATTTCAACTAATGACTTTTAACATAAAAAAAAAAAAAATTAACGAGTCTTAATGAGAGTTTAATACAAAAAAAAAAAAAAGCAAAACCTTTAACCCAAATAAAATAATACTTTATTCCTTAAATAGTTCAAGTTTTTTTGAAGTTTTTTTTTTTTTAATAAATTAATTATTTTGACAAATTATCGAATAATTCATTATAAAATATATATATATATATAAATATATATATATATATATATATATATATATATATATATATATATATATATATATATATATATATATATATATATATATATATATATATATTTAATTTAAGTATCGCAACGACTTATTTTGCATAAAAAACAAAATTTTCGTATATGGTTTAGTATTATCATATTGAGCAAACTTCAAATTTGGGTATGTTTTCGCTTATATTAAATAAGAAACTCATTTAGTATAAACCCCTTCACTTCCTCCTTTAACCGTTAAATATGAGGGTAATAGTTTACGAAGTTTTATTTTATTATTATTTTATTTTTTAAACTAAATTTATATATTAACAGATAAGTTCCAAACTTTATCAAGTAATATTTGATGAAGCGTTTAAAAGTTATTATCATGTAAGGTTTCCAAATATTTTTTTGAATTTGATTATTTTAAATGTATTAAAAGTAACCTTTTTGATTTTTTTTTTTTTTTTTTTTTAAGCACAAGAGAGAGTAAATTAGAGTTTTTTTAGATTTTTTTAAAAATTTTGACTAAATATTTAAAAATAATATTTGTATTATTTTAATATAGGAAAACAGAGTAACATCTTTTTTAAATATTGTTGATAAAAAGATCTTAAAATAGTCGATAAAAAGTTGTAAGTGTAGTTTTTTTATATTTTACTAAATTTAAAAGGTTCAGTTGAATCAAATATAAAATAAAATAATTTCATGAAGAAAAAAAAATAGAAAAAAATTAATCTAAATTAATATCTAATTTTAAAAAATTAGGCTGTTACGATTATAATTCTGATAAAACCTGTTTAAGTTCATTAAAAAAAAAAAAAATCGTGTCAAGTCTTAATATTTTTCTAATCCTGATTTCGAATGTATTAATGATTAACTACTTAATTACATTTTTCATACATTTGCAATTTTAATACATTAGTATTGAATCATTAATTTATTAATACATTAATTAATAATAAATAAAAAAAAAAAGCTTTACGTATTTATATGTGGTGATTAAATAACTTTTTTCGTTTCCCTGCGTTTTGGTGCAATTTGTATTCTGCTCAACTTGGTAAAAAAAAATTTGATGCTTTACGACTATTCTTTCTTTTTTAAAACAATGTTTAGTTTTTGTTTTTTTTAATTAAAAACTTTTTTCAATAAAAATTTGTTTGGAATTAAAAAACAAGTCAAACTGTTTAAAGAGCCGCGATGAGTTTCATAAAGCGGTTTATAGCTGCAACATTTTCGAAAGATTCCAAAGATAACTTTTTTAAAAAACTAACTTTTTTATAGTGTATATTTTTAAGAAGCATGTTACTTCAAAATATACAAAAGTAAAAATAGAAAAATACAACGAAATAATTGAAAACTGTGCATTCAGTAAGAGATGACGCAATCCCGTTAAAAAACAAAACGATTTTGTACATAAGTAGTTTAATGTATCAACATTGATGATTGATTGATATCAATATTTATTTTAACTTTTTTTTCGATATTCTATATACTTTTTTGGTGTAACTGTTATGAACACTTAATAACTGAAGAGAAACAAAAACAACTTTAAAGTATATAGTTTCAAATTGAGTTGGTAAACATCTATCCGGTCATAGTTTTAACCCAAGTTGTCTGAAAAGCTAAAAATTATATATAAACGACAACAAGTTGTCAAAAAAAGTATATTTAGAAAATGTCAGCTTATCGTCAATTAAAAGGTGGTACATATAATGGTGGTACATATAAGGGTGGTACATATAGGAGTGGTAGCACTGTTGTTTTATAAAAAACTATTTCAGATTTTGTCGCATTAAAAGTTTGGTTTTTAACATAAAATTAAATTTTTGTGCTTTTTTTTTGTAGGTGATGTTCATATAAAACATGAACTTAATTTTTGATATTTTTATACCATTTTTAATCTTTAAAGCCATGTCACACTTCTGAAATTTTTTTTTTAACCTAACTTCATATTGGTATATATATATATATATATATATGTATATATATATATATATATATATATATATATATATATATATATATATATATATATATATATATATATATATATATATATATATATATATATATATATATATATATATATATATATATATATATATATATATATATATATATATATATATATATATTACATAATGACTTTTTGTATAACAAATCAACAAAAACATTTTAAAATAGGTGGAAACAAAGTAATTCCATACGCATAAGTTAATTTTTTGTGCTTAAATCTCGGTTTCGGTTTTAGCTATCGGATGAAACTTTTTCAGGGATATTTTTTTACGACGCGTATTTATTTTGTGTTATTTTAGTTAGAGTTGTTGGTAGTTTTTAAAATTTTTATAAATATGGAGGCAGAAACGCGTCATAAATCATTTTGCTTTGATCACGTGACCTGATGAAAATTTCTAAATTTTACATTTGAATTTTCATTAAAAATTTTTCGACTGGTATACTAAAAATTCATGCAGGCAATGAATCATTATGAAAAACAAATAAACTGACAAAGTAAAATATGCTTCATGACTGATAGTGCAATTACTACGCTGGAATAACGAAAGGTTTTCCAAACGTTCGTTATCTTGCCCTGTCTTCCCCTAACTGTATCCTTTTATTTTAAATTTTTCTTATTTACATTAGTATACTGGTGACACGTGTCTATATTGTACCTATATAAAACAAATTTTTTGTCGAAGGCACATCTACAAGATCTTAATTGAGAATAAACTGTAAAAGTGACCATGGAGACCATTTATGGTCTTAAATGACCATTCATGATCTTAGATCATCATTTCATCTATAAAAACTTTTTAAGAGAATTGATAAAATGTGTTAAAATTTATTAGAAATAAACACCTGTAGAGAAGGATGACAAAAAATGTTTTATCTAATTGTTAAAGTACTACCTAAAGTACAGCAACTTATCACTCAAAATTTAAATACTAAAATTCACCTCGTGTCCGTCAGACACGTAGAGAATATTTAGTATTTAACTATTTTAATAGCTTAAAACTTTGTGTACAAGTACTTCACAGTACTTGTACACAAAATTTACAAGTGCTGTACAGTACTCATACTATTTTACTGCTATATACATTTATGTTTACTATATTTATAAGTATTCGAGCTATTACTATTGAAAAAATCTAACAGAGTAACCATACTCTGTCTACATTACAAAAACTTAGGCATGAGTTGAGGTATTTTTGTTTCCAGGTCTCAGCTACTGCATCTTAATACAAAAAAATCTCATTTAGTTTAATAACTACGTATATGATTAATCTTAAAAAATTTTAATAGGCTGCTCCTATTATTTTTTGTTTATTATTTATTTTGTGCGAGAATCAAGAAAATGCTAATTACAAGTGTCAACTTTTAAAAAACGCCACGCCACACTTTATAACATCTATAAAAGGGTTAAGTTTTTAACATCTTTAAAAAGGTTACAAAAAAGACTTTTTTTTATTTCATATGTGATATAAAACTTCTTTTGAGACCCAACTTGATATACTTTAGAAAAAATATTTTTTGGCTATATATATACCTTTTTTAGGAGTTGACACTTTTCTACTGTATTTTATAACTCTCTTATTTACTCATCTTATTGTAACAACTTAGAATGAAAAAGAAACCAACAGAAAGTGAGGACAAAAGCTTATATAACAGTGTTTTCGTGTAAAAAAATCTCGAATAAAAAAAATTTCGTATAAAAAAAATTTCGTATTAAAAAATCTCGTATATTTCGTATAAAAAAAAATTTAATAAAAGTGTTTAATTAAGTTTTTATTTTTAAAAAGGTTTTGTTTTTAAATATTGTTTTGATGAAACAATATAAAAAAAAAAAACAGTTTGATTTAATATTCAGTAGATTGTATGTTAGTACTGACATAATAAATTTTGTAATTTAATTTTAATAAACCGAGAAACTGTTTAATTTATTTTTTACTACTTTATTTTTCGGACTAGAGCATGTTTAAGCTACGACTAACTAAAAACTTAAAAAATTAAATCAAACATACAAAAATTAAAAATTAAAAATTTTTGCACACAATCAAATAACATTTATATTTCATCAAACTTTTATTTTAAGTAATGTCACTACATATTTTAGAATTAAACTTCAAAAATATTTGGTAAAGACGTATTATGATCATTTAGATGTAACAAAAAAATGTTTTGGATTTTAAAATAAACTCATGACATGTTTTGGGTCTTTAAAATAAACCCATGACATGTTTTGGGTCTTAAAATAAATCCTAAAAGTTGTCATCGTCAAATACAAAAATCTCAAAAACAAATTGAGCATATGACGCTAATTGTGTTTGCATTCTAACACGAAAAAAAAACTAAATATATATATATATATATATATATATATATATATATATATATATATATATATATATATATATATATATATATATATATATATATATATATATATATATATATATATATATATATATATATATATATATATATATATATATATATATATAAAGAGAAAACAAAAAATAAAACTTCTACAGTCATTTTAAAGTAATCTACAAATATTTAAGATAAAGTCTGACATCATTACTAAACTTCTAAATACAACGCGCGTGTTTTCGCATTCGATTTGCAATCGTTTTTTAGCTTAATAATTTTAAAGAATTCTTTTGTTGCAAATAAATTGTTACGTATGTGGACGCAACGTAAGTTCGTAAGAACGCAACATTAGTACTTTATATAGCATACGGACGTAATAACGTAACGTAAGCTTGAAAGAATGCAACATAAGCGCGTAAGAGCGTAGCATTAGCAGAAAGAGCTATTAAATACTAAAAACAAGGCTTGTAAAATAAATCACTTACCATAAAATTACTTAAAATTCCTTTAATTTTGTTTTATAATGTTTGGGAGTTTTTTGTTGAAACGAGTTTTAATTTATCGTTACTCGAAACAAGTGTCAAAAACGATTTGAATTATTATGAAATTAACATTTTAACTTTAGTGCAGCATTTAATGCTTTGATTTTATTCCACAAGTTTTTTGCTTTCAAATAGTTTTTGCTAATCAAATAAAAAAACAAAACTACAATTGTTTTTTTTTCAAAAATTAATAATTAAGTAAACAGTATACAGTCAATAAAGTTGTCAGTAATTGTCAATGAAATAATTATCATTGAAAAATCATTATAAAAAATGATGAAAATTTTCATTGAAATAGTTTTGATTTTAAATATGTTAGTTTTATAATAATGGAAAATTGCAAGAACAAATGTGGTCATCAGTACTAAAATTATAATTACTTTAATAGTTCAAAGTTTAAAAAATTTCTTTTCAAAATGGCATTTGTTAATAGCTAAAATAGTGTGACATGTGTTAACACCCGCAAACAAGCAATAAAAGATATAAACGGCAGCTGTTTAATTGATTTAATGAAAGTAAAACTAATAAAATGATTATACTTTTAGACTAACAAAAATTTTCGTTTCATCAAAAGATGTTTACGAAAAAGTTTACATACGTACATACATGCATACATGCATACATACATACATACATACATACATACATACATACATACATACATACATACATATGACACATACAAACATATATATATATATATATATATATATATATATATATATATATATATATATATATATATATATATATATATATATATATATATATATATATATATATATATATATATATATATATATATATATATATATATATATATATATTAGTTTAATTGCATTGTAAACCAGTTAAACAACTGCCGTTTATTTATTTTTATTGCTTGTTTTAGGGGCGTTAACATATGCTATTTATTTTTAATGTTAACATATACCACCTTGTATTACATCTATTTTAACTGAAAAATATTTTGGATTATAATTGGAATATAAATATTGGCGATCAACTAATTTGAAACTGTAACATATATACTACATAGCTCTAGTCTATATAATATAAGCATCTAACTCTTTAAGTGTACAACAATTTAAATACAAGTTTACATAAATGACAAGTAGACTAAGCAAAGTAGACTGAGTTAAGTAGACTGAGCAAAGTAGACTAAGCGGCGTTTTTGTGCGTCAAAAACAGTATCTAGTAGAAATAAATTGTTTAGAAAAAACTATTTTTATGGTGTGATGTGTTATGATGCAGATCCAAACATAAACTGTGAGACTCAAAAAAGATTAGACTAGTTTATTTAAGCGTAACTTTATTAAAACTTAAGTAATCAACGAGAAAAAACCAAACTAACTAAATAAAAAAGATTTTTATCTATTTTTTGTTTACAAAATTTGGCATTGGGTTTTGACAATGAGTCTATTTA